TGCACTGATAAAAACTGCTGTTCTGGTTTTTGTTCTGTTGAAGATCAGCAAAGTGTTGCGCAGTAAGGAAAGAATCAGACACCACTGTGCAGTGAAAGAAAAGAGCAGTTAACCGCATGCGGTGTCGGCCTGATGGTGCCCTTTGTGAGGGTGGTCTGATCTTACAACATAATGGAGGAGTCAGTGAAGGCAGCGGGCAGCCACAGAACCCTGAAGCTTGGCAGAGTTTGTGTGTAACAGACACCCTGCAGAGAGCAGTAGTCTGGTTCTGTAGCACTGGGTCAGGAAATGCACCTGCTGTGAGACAGAACCGTCTTTCCTACAGCAAACAACCAGGTGTTCAGCCTGTAAACAGGAAACATATTCAGCACTCCACCATGCAGACACTTTAACTTTGTCCTGCGGTAGAAGGAGGTTTTATACACTGCTAAAAAAAATAAAGGGAACACTCAAATAACATCCTAGATCTGAATGAATGAAATATAGGTGTGTGGCCTCCACCTGCCTGTATGACCTCCCTACAACGCCTGGACATGCTGCTGATGAGACGGCGGACGGTCTCCTAAGGGATCTCCTCCCAGACCTGGACTAAAGCATCCGCCTGCATTGTCCTGCATTAGGAGGAACCCAGGGCCAACTGCACCAGCATATGGTCTCGCAAGGGGTCTGAGGATCTCATCTCGGTACCTGATGGCAGTCAGGCTACCTCTGGTGAGCACATGGAAAGAAATGCCACCCCACACCATTACTGACCCACTGCCAAACCGGTCATGCTGAAGGATGTTGCAGGCAGCAGATCTCTCTCCACGGTGTCTCCAGACTCTGTCACGTCTGTCACATGTGCTCAGTGTGAACCTGCTTTCATCTGTGAAGAGCACAGGGCGCCAGTGGTGAATGCCTCCACAGAGATGGAAAAGACTCGTTGACAGTTATTTGGTGACAGGTGTAGTTGTCATGGGTGGCACAACCAGGAGGTTTAGAGAAGGGGCAAATACTTTCATATATATCATGCATAGCATTAGGACCTATAGTGTAAATCCCCCCCCCAACACACACAGCCTAAACATCCCTGAATCAAATGTGTTTTATGTGTTTCAGGTTTCGTGTTTCTGGTGTTTCCTCCAGCTCCTGCAGATTCTTCATCTCTAAATTGCAGCATCATTCGACTTCCAACCTGTTACTTCAGGTACCAGCTGGCCCAGTGGCCCGAATCGGCTGACTGTGACTCATACTGGGAGGATCACAACGTAAGTCGTCACCTCTATGATTCACCGGGTCTCTGTTCTGAATTGAATCAGCAGTTCTGAGAGAAGGTTTAATTTTCCGTTTTGACAAAAAGAGAGAGAAAACAGCCAAGAAGCTTTACAGAAAATAATCAGATTATATGTTGAACTACTATTTAATGCAGAGAGTTGTAATCGCCCGTGGTCCTTCATACAATGAAACCCTTGTAGAGACTCTGACAGACGAGCACATCAACCTGAACATCTGCCAGCATCACCCGAGGCACAGACGGACTGTTTGGAGGTGAAACAAACTTTACCAAGAAGGAGAATAAGGGACTATGAAGAAAAATTTAAATATGAATGTGGTTTATGTTGCATTGGAAGTAACCTTTTACTTCATTCTGTGTTTCCATGCTTCAGACTGAGTGGGTTGTTGACTGCAGAGGTGAGATCTGATTGATTTCACAGCAACATTGTTAACTTTGTCAGTTTTTAATCACCTTATATTAGTTTTTCTTCAACTCATCAGTTCATTTCCTGACTTCTGCATTTCTCTAGTTCTGTTGCAGTGAACTGCAGCTTCTTCAAGCTCGATGACTGTCCTCCAACAACCAGTGAGTTTGTTTCAGTCACATACATCGGGACGTGGTCGTAGAGAATCATATAATCACATTAAACTGCAGTGAAGGAGAAAAATGCATAATTAACAGTTTATTCATTCCTGCTTGACATACTCTGTTTCTGTCCAGAGTTTCTGTTGCTGAAGGTAACTGATCAGTAGATAAAATCAGTGATTCCTGCTTCAGTCAAGTTCAGCCCACACCAGATATACTGTATTTATGTAAAACCGCCTACGGGGTGTTTGATTTATTGTCACAAGCCCTCGCATGAGCTGTCACTTGCTAGAGGTAAAGTTTGCTGTTTTATTGGAGGATTTATTGTTTATCCAATTACTCTCAGTGCAGAATCCTCACATTATTTCTGTTTTATCTGAACTGACTGCTACAGGCTCTGACCCTGCAGTGGTAAAAGTCTAACAAGTCTGTCATTCATTTTCTTCTCTAAATGTCTCCTTAGATATTTTTGCCTTGATCTAAGCTCAAAACAAGACACCAAGTGTAAAAGTGACCAATAAATCAAATGTGACTGTACAGTAGGTGCAGGTTGACACTTAGCTCCAGTGCTCAAACAAGACATCTGAGCTGATCTGAAGATCAGAACCTTCCATGAAACTAATGTAAGGGTAACAAAGTCAGGTTATGTCTCAGTTGACTGCACTTTGAAATGACCTTCAGTGCACAGATGTCTGGATACTAGCTAACTAAAAACCTGTTTTGTCATTGTTGAAAACATTTTAAGCTCAAAACTGCTATACATGAAGACATTTGAAGCATAATTCAAACAGGAAACACCACAGCTTGCTGCACACAGCCTAAAGGGGATCTCCAAGACAAACGACCAGCAGGCAGAGAACAATAGATGCTGCTTGTGTGGTTTTTTTGTTGAAGTAAAAAATTGTGCAAACACTTCTGTTTTTAGATAGACTCTGGTTTCCTCTGGTACACTAAAGTAAATGTGTTGAAGGTTTCTGCCAAATATAAACTTATAGGCCACAAAAATTAACAATGTATTATTTTTTGGGGACAATTGTTTTCCTTGAGAACTTTTCTGTTTTCAGCAACAAGAACTACAAATGGGTCACTCTGTCTTCTGTTTTACATTATGTGATCAATTTACAGATTTTCAAATATTATTGTTCACTCAGTATCTATGAGTACCATCATTAGCACTAATATGTTATTTTTCAAAATAGGTTAAAGGTAACCTTTAGTGTATCTTTAACTCAGGAAACCCTCAATTTTCCATGCATCTTCTATTAGTTTAAGACTTGCCACACAATATGGTGGACGAGCTGATGTCTAGTTTGTACAGAGCCACAAAGACGGTGCGGCCCCCACTCCTTTGTCTTTGCAAGGACTTCATTAAAGTACTTTATTCAGAACGTTAGCCTCTTTTTGGGTAAAGCAAAAAAATAAAAAATAAATCTCCACTTTTACTGGCATAAAGGTAGATTCTGATATGTTCACTACAATAAAACAAGTCATTAAAATACAACTTTTAGCTTTTTGGTGGGAGAATATGGCCTCTTAACTAAATAACATAATGTTGATACCAACTCTGCCATTTAGTGGCCCAATGTGTCATACCCTGGTATTTAACTTGAGATTCGCTGTCTTCAACATTTGGACAGTTTCTTTTAAACTCAGGCATCAAAACAGTTCAAATATTCACTGAATTCACTCCAACATATTTTTCTTTTCTCTATTAACAGTTTGCAAAAAACAGCTCTTTATCAGTACCTGCCAGACTGCGTTGAAACTGCAGCCTCATGAGTTAACGGTTATGTCTTAAACTCACCCAAACATAACTTATAAGAGTTTGTGTTAACAGTTTTGAAAAACAGACAGTAGCAAAGTTAGAAAATGGAGCACAACCCTTATTTAAAAAAAAAAAATCTATTAATCTGTTTTTTTTCTTGCTCAACTGCATGAAATCTGCATCAGTGACCTGCTCAGACCCGACTATGAATCCGTTCTTATTTCTCTGCTGTAACTCTCTCATCTCCTCTTTGTTTTTCAGAGTTCTGCTTGTTTGAATCTGTGTCCTTTGACGGTTTTACTGGAAGTCTCACCATCTGTGTTCCAGTTGCTGCCCTCCTCTTGGTTCTGATCATCTGGTGGGCCATCTCCAAATACAAGCAGAGAAAATCTGCAGCTGCACCACTTGAGCAGGTCCAGATTCAGCCAATTCTAGTCAAAAACATTGACTAGAAGCTTGGACCCTTTGAAGCGAGTGTGCATGTATGGCTGTCGTTCTCGTGTGTCTCGGTGTTGTCCTAGGATGGACTGACGACCTGCCCAAGATGTTCTCCGCCTGTCACCTACTGGCTGCTGAAGATAGGTACCCTGCCAGGATTAAGCTGACGGAGGAAACGCCTGGAATGGATTGAGCATTTTGACCAGTTTTTATAGTTTTCATGGTGTAGATCTTTATGGGTTGATCTGTCATTCAAAACAATTTAACATCTAGGCTGAGTTGTTTGCACATTGTATAAATTAATGTTTGCCTTTTCCACCTTATTGCATACAACAAAATGAATCTGTCATCAAAGAAAACTCTTCCCTCTCCCTCTTGCACTGAACATGGAAAACATGTCATAATGTTGGGTTGCTCGGAAGCAGCATGGTAAGTTTAAGGATCTTTTCTTCTTTAATAATGATGAAAATACAACTTGCACGAGCTTCCAAGAACACAGACAATGACATGGAGCAGGTAGCAACAGGGAAGTAAACAGGAGGACGAAGCAAGGAGCAATGAATACCAGCAAGTATTTAAACTGAGGGAGAGGAGTGAGAACCAATGAGAGGGAGAGAAGGGTCATCAGATGGAAATGGTAACAGGTGTGGAACCAGGTAACAGGGAGACAGAGGGGAATTTTAATAATTACAACTGATGAAACTAGACTGCAGGAAGCACTAAACAAACATGAGGAACAGAACTAAAGGAAAATAGACTAAATAACAAAACCCAGGAAGACAGATCTATGGAAAAAATATGAACAACCACAAGAACACAAGGATCTAGATACTAATAACAGAATAAACAACTGATCTAAAAGACAACAAAACACCTAACAAGGAAAAAGTGAAGAAAAACAAAGACAAAATGGTGGAACATAACAAAACATGGAATATACTAAATGAAAAAATGGAGATGGCGACTGTGGCTCAGTAGGAAGAGTAGTTGTCCTGCAATCAGAAGGTTGTAGGTTTGATTCCTCCTGCCATATGTCAATGTGCCCCTGGGCAAGGCACTTAACCTCAAGTTGCCTACCAATCTGCATATCGGTGTATGAATGTGTGAGCGTTAGTGATTGGGTGAATGTGGCTCTAGTGTAAAGCGCTTTAAGCGGTCTGTATGACTGGAAAAGTGCTACATAAGCTCAGTCCATTTAGCATTTAGATGGGATGCTTAATTGAAGGGCATGCTTTTAATTAATTAATGTCAAACTTTTGGAAATTGAAAAAGAATTGAAGAAGTTATGATCATCTGAATGTCTGCACTCACCAGACGACTTTTCTGAGAAATCCTCCCTGAAAGATTCATTGTTTTCTCTGCCTGAAAGCAGGGCGGTGACAAAAGTTGCTAATTTGAATAACGTTTAATAGCCTACCTCCCACTACTGTCAACAGAAGCGCCAACTGACTGCAACAGACTTCTGTCACTGAACTCATAGTATTTTTCTATGTAAAGATAATTTACAGCACTGCATTACAATTTATGTCTGCAAATTGCATCATGACTGCAACCTAATGTCTGCATCCTGGTGACTGGTTTGCTTTAATCTTGTTTTTAGATAAATCTCACTTAAAGTTCCAGACTATTAAATGTTCTGCCTCAGGCTGAGTTTGAAATCCTAGCTCGCAGCAATTAGCAAAATATCAGGTTAATATGGATGTGTTGTTCTTCATATGTGATATGAGATGTCCAAAGATTATTGTAGCATGCAGAAATATTGTTTATCAGTCTTCATTTTATGTGTGCAGGTATGAATAGAGCTACGGGCCAATAGTTTACACCTTTTGAATACGTGTTAATCTAGAAGAGGCTGGTGCTGCAGCTACTTAATCTGTACCCATCAAGTCGATTTTAATATTTGACTGGTCGGGTTTATGTGATTTGTTTGTACATGAATTATTTACAGTATGATGCATCATAATATATTTTTTAAAGTTATCAAACTCACCCATGAAACTGAAAGGTAT